ATTTGCATAAATCACGCGTGCCTGTGAAGTGTAAAAGTTGTTATATTTAAAAACAAATTCCATCTCAATATACTCGAACACAAATTCCTTGCAACTAAAATGATTTTAAAGCCGAATCAGCCTAACTCCTTGGATGCTAAATTTTAAGTTCCAACATTATTTCATCAAACGATTTTAATTTTTGCAAAAAGTTATACGTTAGGTTTGGCTAAATTTCCTATTTTATATATCTTTATCGGATGCAAAGTATACTATGAATTTGTACAAATGCCGGCAATGTGATAGGAACCCTGTCACAACGTTTAATCTGATTTGAAATGCAATCAAAATCACCAAAGTATCAAGTATAGTATTATATTTTTATGTAGTAGATTGCTGACGTAGTTTTACCCAAATAATACAGAACCTTTGTGAACAATGTTAATGCAATTATGTAAGTTTACAAAAGCTGACACACTTTCAAATAAACGATAAAAGATACATTAACTTTCTCTAAAACAAATCACGATTCACCGAAAAAAAATTAGAAATTTTAATGTTTCAACAATATATACACGTTTAAACAATACGATGAGCGTGGTTGTTTTGATGCAAAACCCGACTGAAGGTCCGGCATAAACAATACTCCGAGTTAATTTGAATAGATTACATCGTTTTATGAAATTATTAAATTGGATAGATTGCGACGCAATAGAAGTTCTTGCAAAATCTCGCAAAGTTCTAGTGCTTTGACACGCACAGTTTGGGAACCACTTTATTAGTCATTTTAAAAAATGTTCGTTGATAGTTTATTTTCTATATTCCATCTTCTCAAACATTTCGCAAAATATTGAGCATGCCAATCCAGCCCAACCCAATCATTTCTAAATTATCATCTTTGTTTCATAGAGTCCTTATTTCTATGCATTTAAAATGAACACAGACAAACCAACGTTATATGGAACAAAAAATATAAAATTTGTTCACAATTTTATTATAGATAAATCAAAATCATCTTATTGGAATTGAAATGTGGTAGGCCCTATTACATTTTTTTTACTTGATGAAATACCAATCAAAAGTAGAGAAATTACATATTATATATTATTATTCATCACTTTACCATATTTATAATGAATCCGTGTGACAACGGCCAAATACGGATCCAAAATAGAAAGTAGACTAGAAAAAAGAATCAACAGTTCAATTCACAATATCCTAGTACCCTCGTCTATATATCTATATACAAAACAAAAACATGTTTTCTATTTATATAATGTCATTTATCACTTTAATACTATCTTATTCCAGCACCCATGTGACAACGACCACACATGGAGTCAAAATAAGAAGTAGAAAAGGAAAAAGAACCTGCAGTTCGGTACACACTATTCTATTCTTTTATAATATTAACATTGTCGTTTGTATGTTAAGTTAAGTAATAAAAGTTAAAAAGTGAAGTTAGGTAATAAAAATCTAATTCAACCAGGGAGTTTGGTTCGTTGGTAACCTAATAATCCAAGTATCGATTGGTAATGTTTTAGTTGAACGACCCAAATGTACTATTTTATTGCGATCTGAATCCAATTTATATTTCCATTGATTACGACGTTGATCTAAAAAATTAAATATTTTCTGTTAAACACTTATAAATAGTTTACGAAATTGCTTTGTTACAGGTTGTTGTTGTTGTTGCTGTTGACACTTGACAAAAACCTTTTTTCTGTTCAACTGCTAGAGACAACTTTTTATTTTTTATCGTATTACTTCTATTTCATGTGTTTACGTGTTTGTTTACTCATCCGAGCAAATTTTTAAAATTATCATTTCTAATGCGACCTTTATTGAACATATTCTATATTATTTGATATTTTTTCTACATGTGTTTAGTATTTCCCAGCTGATAAAATTGTCAATAGCATAAATTGTCATACCAACTTACTGTCATACCAGTAATTTTGATATGATGTGAAGAATTGACAAATTTTCTAAAAACAATACTTACTTCTCAGATCTGTCAAGTCTTTGTAGAATTTTGAGGCTTTGTATGTAGCTGAAAATGTAATTCAACATTCAATAAATAACTTGTGTTTGTCTTTTGTGCTAAATCGTCCTGAATATTTGATCATTCAGATTAATTTTTGTCATCAAGGATGGGACGAAGTCATTACGACGAATCTCCATTTTTTTCATCTTTTAAGCTTAAATGAACATTTTTGCTCATATATTATTATTGCTATTTAAGTACCGTTTTGCGTGTTTTTTAGAAACATATTTTTCCGTGTGGGCTTGAATGGGAAAGTTTGGATTTCTTTCTCCGAGTTGAAATTTAAAAATTATCACGACGGAAGCATCACTAGTAATGACAATCGAGTCAAACCATGGTTACACGTTTAATTGATTTATCCGTACGTGGATTCTCTAGAAATCGTGGTGAAGATGCGACTAAAGGTTGGCTTAGTCAATGTTTGACACGAGTTAAACAATGTACTTACTTATACGATTTCTGTATTTTCTGGTAACGCCCCTACGTCTTACGGTTGCTCGGATTGCTGTGAAAGAAAAATTTTCAAGTCTGACAAGAATTTGTGCAGTCTATTTATTTTTAAGTTTCAGTTTTTATGTATTCTATCACTTTTACCAGATTTTGATATAATTTTTCTTAAATATTATCACGCATTGAATATACTTATTTGACTCAAAACACCCGAATACGCATTTCGCAATATTTGCTTTCGAAATTCGCTATTAAAACTGGAATGTTAATATAGACCTATGTATTTTAATAAAAACGTCGCCCAGAAATACGCATCAGGTTATGTTTTTAATAAACGACGATATTTCTTATAGCACATATCACCCTAATTTTCGAAATAGGCAAATAGGATTTTTACGTTTTATAAATACAAGTAGCAATGATTATATCGCACTTTACGTGAAGGTTTGCTTTATTATTCGGATATTGATTTAATTCTAATATTATTACATCTAGTATAATTCCACATTGATAACATATTTTTTCGTACAACTGGAACAATCACAATTTTTCGTTTATTTTTTACTAATATTTTCAAATAGCAATTACCTTCTATTTGAATAGATCCAAAGAATACCGCAAAAATGAATACCAAGACCAAAAAGCTGTTTATATTCATCTCAATTTACGCTTTATCACACGTTACAGACGCTTCAGATTGCAACACCGTTGAATGTACTTTTGGTTATATGCATGGTTATATGTGCGTAATAGGACATATGATTAATTCTGATACCAGCCTTGTATTAGTAACATTTCCAGAAATTGTTACAGTTTGACGTCAATGGTTTAAAGTTTGAAGCTTCAATTTATTTAACAAAGCAAAACTCATTATTCGTGAAATAGAATACTGATATTAATTTACAAATATGAGCAATTGAAAGTCATAGCCTTTCATCGTAAGATTAAAATATATGATTTAAAGATTCGATACTTAGATTCGATTGAACTACTAATTAATAATATCAATGCCCGCTGGTATTGGTTTCTCTGCGTCTCCGTTTACCCTAAAATTCAATTCCCGATTCACGATGTTGCCATCATTAAGCGCTGTTAACTGTATATAATATTAGTTTATATGACAAGAAATATTTCATTAATTACTGATTATTTCCATAAAGCTAGCTAATCTTTGTCTAGAATTGACGTTTTTTGTTGTATTCCACGTGTTCCATCAATCAGATTAATATCAAATCGTCTATTACCAGAAGAATATATTTTCAAATTTTATTACGAAACAAAAAATAAATAAATTTGCTACTTTGTTTCTGATTATATATATATATGAAATATTATTTATTATAAATTTTGCTCCATCAGACTCATTATTCAGCGCATATTTACAAAACTCAAAATGGTCTTTTATTAATAGAACTACAAAACATTTTAAAGCAAAAAGATTCTGATTAGTTGCGGTGGTTCTAATTCTACAAGCAAAAGCAATTCATTTATAATTTATCATTGTTGTTTATTATCATGACGTGCTTAATAGCAAACAATGTATTTCTAGGCAGTCATATATGCGTATAAAAACGATTGGTATCTTAAACCTTTTCAAGCAAAATGAAACATTATTGTAACCTCGGTAGCTGTGAAATGTGACATACTGGTTAATTAGCAACTACAATAAAGTACGGAAGTCTCCCCGATATATGAGAAGCCATTCACAAATACTATGACATAAGCAGTGAGCATGTTGTATGTTTTGAGTCGATAAAAAAAACTGTTAAAATGTATTAAAATTTTTCCAGTATTCAATATGATTTGGTCTAATTGATTATTTGGCAAAGTTAAATTTTTAATTTACAATTTTACCCCATACTAAATTCATGAGTTTTAAGATGGGGAACACCAGTTTCAATTTTCACTGATTCAGTTGCCATTATAGCAACTTCATGTTCCATATTGTGATGAGAGACTACTAGACGTATTTATCAACGTTTTGGTAAAGAATTGACAGATTTAAAATGTGGTGGAATTTTGTTCCATGTTGTGCCGTCAGTTGAGAACTTCAGATTATTATTCGTTTCAAAGTTTTCTACCTGAATATTAATATCATGTTGTAAAGTTGGCTTGGCCCTTCACTCAAAAGAATGCTGTTTACAAACGGCCACATATAGGTAAAAAGGTATTATGGTTCTGAAGAAGTTTCTGGCATTGCCTACCATTAATTACAATGTATATAAGTTTAAAGCTCTATCAGATCATATCTACAACAAAGTACGCACTTTGTAACTTTCTTAAAGTTAATCAACTAAACTGTATTCCCGGTGACTCAAAAAAGATTTATACGGGATTCAATATTACTCAGTCACTTATAATGAATATACTATAAAATCACTGATATTGAATAAACTGAGTATCCAGTTTGAAAAAAAAAATCGAAGTGTATTGTTGAAAAGTATAGAAAATTATTTATTGAGTTTAATATGCTCCATGTTCGTAATTAATTTATACCATTAACAAGTAAAATTTTCACTATACAGATGTATAGACAAATATTAATTCTCACATTAGTCCTGTTTGTTTGCATATCTGACGGACTAAGATATAGGGAATTTGGAGTACAAAATGAAAATGATTACAACGATGGGGAAGATTTAAGGTTTGATTGCAGTTTCTGATTTTAGATTAAATTTTACAAATTTGATTTACGAGTCTTGTAAGGTACCCCCACAAGCTAGGTTTGCGCATTAATTTTACTTCCTCCTTTTGGTTTTAATATGATTTCGGGCAATGTCTATATTAGTCAAATAAATATACCCCCCGCTCATAGGATTCAGCGAACAAAAATAATTACCTCCATATTGGTACACACACGCGGCTCGTGTCATAATAAATCTATATTGACTTTGATAAATTAAATATATTCAGACGAAGTATAAATATGGATCGTTTTTTCTAAATCCTTGTAGTTGTTGGAAGAAAACGATTTTCCCATCGAATTTACTAAAACGCTACATACTTTATTTAATTCTCTCATTTTAACTTTGAGCTTTCTCGCCTAGCTAATTCGATGATCGGCCTTACCGTATTGTGGTGGTCCATATGTTACCATTGCTGTCTTTTTAATTGGGAAAACGCATTCACGCATAGGCTCAACTGTCAAGTTGTTTATTTTCTTACTTATGAAAAATTTAAAAAAATTCTACGTTTGAGTTTCAAATATTAAAAGATAATTTATACCAAACTTGAAACGCACACTCATAAAAAGATTGTATTATTTAATTAATATCACTACATCTATGAAATATTTTCAATAAAGTTAAAGCTTTCTCCATTAACAGTCTCAAAATCCAAAACATTCACCTATTCACAGATATTATACATGAACTATACGGAAATAATTCATCATATTTGTCTCAGGTTACAAGAAAATGACTACGACACGCCATACGCGACGAATTATAACTCCAGGTATTATGGTCATAGACGATCGCATAACAATGGAATAAAATGTTCAAAGACTTCTGGATACCACAAATGCAGGTAAAATACATTCCTCTCTAATACACTGAGACAAGTCTAACAATCTATGTTGAAAGTTAAACAAACTATTTAAATTAGGTTCAGTACATAGGTTCTATACAGTTGTATTTATCTTGACTTCTATTTTTCATTCAATGCTTTATGTCTGTAACTACTTTCATAATGTTGACTAAACTATATCACACGTGCTTCTTACGGTAAAAAACATATGTTGTTGTTTTTATTATGAGTAAACAACATTTCAACGCCGGAAAAGAAACATGTGCATAGAAGAAAAAAAAATTGAATAAGTATCTAGGCATTTTACAGCTGTATACTGCAGTTTTGTGTATAAAGACACTTAAAAACTTTTCGTTGATATTGATTTTTCTAAATGCTATTTTCACATGATATTACATCATGTTTTGAAACTTTTTTTAAGTTTTGTTTGCTCCCCAGAATTTTTTATTTTTGATTTAAGTGCATTTCAAAGTTTTCAAAATGAACTGTCTATTTAAAAATGGGTATACCTACATATTGAACCTTAACTGTTCTTGCAATAGTTTATTCTTCATTCTACACTACAGATCTTATCGAGTGCGTCACCTCAGTTCCGCAACTTGTCGTCTTTTAGGAAGCATAATTGTATTAAACGAAGATTTTGAAACACGTAGATGCGTCAAATATTGCTGTCCGAGGTATGGAAATAATGTTCAAAATTATTTTACATCAATTCGGGTTTGATTAAAATTTATTTTTTTGATACTTGAGCATTATCTGCACAATAATTTATAATCGTGATCTAAATATTAAATTTTATATTACTAACTAAGACCAAACAAACATATTATAATGTAAAACTAAAACAACGCTAAGGGTAAATCTCAATTCAAAAATTCAAGGTTTTCTGTTAAATGCATTTACTTATAAAAATTTGGGCCTTGTAAGGTTTTTCTTTGAGAGGTTCCGCGAGGTTTTTATACGAGTTAGGCTTCTTTCAAGAAAGCGTGAATACAACCAACAGTAATCAAATATTCAAGCTATACATAAACGCAGAAGGTGCCTCGTCCTTTTTCTGAGTGCACTAATAAAATTAATGATTATATCACAAATTGTTGTTTTATTTAAACGGTTTTACAGTGAATTTAGGAATTTTTTTTCGTTAGGTTACCGTTGCTCGTTCGACATCACAAGCCTGGAGCAACAATGACCAACTCAGTCACTGCAACGTCGACAAAACATGACCCAACGAATACAATCCCTATACCAGCTAATATAACCAAAGTTAAAGAAAACACGACCATAGAAAAAAGAATAACCACCACAAAGCCAACTTCCCCAACACCAAAGAAGAAAAATTCGGGTATTTTTTTTACTTTATTTAGGTTTTAAAACATATAGGCGTTTTTGACCTGAATTTAGAACCTGATCGCATACTTGTCTCATATCTATTCCTACCCTTTTATTTTTATACGACATTTTTTGAAGTTTTTCACCATATAACACTTCATGATCAATCACTACTAAACTACTTTGAAAGGACCACAATCATTCGTGTTCTGCATTGCCTACCAATTTGTTAAACCATGCGCCAGATGCTTCGTATGGGCTTTGAACCCTTGATTTATTTGATCCTATACCAAACTCCAGTAACCCTAGCATATTTGTTCATTCTCCAAGTTTGAAATGTATAATTTGCAGTATTAATCAACGCCAGTTAGATGGAAAAAAACGTATTATGTAAATATTTCAGACGATAAAAACAGAATTTCCTCACATAAATCTCTCGAGAATGCAAATGTAGAAGATGGCAATTTGGAAAAAGACCTTCTTGCTATTCTCCAGAAAACAAAAAATACAATGACTGAAAATCCTAGCAGTGAAGAGGATATACTTGTGGATCAGTTAAGAAAACTAACATAAATATATTTAAGAGGATTCGACTTAACACATAAATACAAATGTATAAACTGACTAAGGACCAATAATACTCAATATTTCACAGCCACTAACAGAAAAATTAGAAGTTTTTTGTTTTCTGAAAAATGTATTTTTTCACATAATTTTTTGAAATACATTTATAACAGCAACCCGTAATAAGTTGAATAATTTACTGAATTTCACTAAAGAGGGAACAGTTATAAGAGTGCTGAATGTGTTATGTACAATATCATGGATAACAAAAATATTAAAAAAAAAGTAAACGAGCATGAAGTTTGATATTACTGATCATTTTAGAATAAATGTGATTCGGCCTTTCCCAAATTGCAAAAACTTTGTTTTAGATAATTTTATTTTAATTTTATTCTTTATGTTTAAAGAAAATTGTTATTGTTAGTAATTGATTGAAATGATTATCACTGATATGGATGTTATTTCAGAGGATTCATCGTTTATATGTAAATATACCAGTCAAATTGGGGGATTTTCTGACTCAAATTAATAAAAAAATTAGGTACTCCTTGAGTATGCGCATCAAGATGTCGCACAACCTGAACCCAAACCTGGTACGCAACCCGAGTTCAGGTTGTGCGCCATCTTGGTGCGCATACTTCAGGAGTTCCAAAATTTAAAATATATAAAACCTCGACGAATATAATCATAATACACTACGAGTCGAAATATACAATAAAAATCTGGACAGTTCAATGCAACGCGGGGTTTGTATAAAATATTGATAAAACTAATTCATGACAAACATAAGGGTTTTTGAAATATAAACTATAGAAAAAAAAATATAGAAAATATAGAAAGATTACAGAAATTCATTTGTTCCAGTTTGCAGCAGGGCCTTTGAATTATATGGCAAAAACACTGAGAAAAACCAGTAGAATTGTTTGTTGTCGTGTATTTGTTTCAGAATACGCACCTTATATGAATCTTACTTGCGCCTGACGATCAATAAAAAATCAGTCTGTACTCCGATTCACTATTTTAATCTGACAAAACATAGAGTACTCACTCAATATTGGCTTTCAAAAGTTTGGAAAGTTTGAACATAATTAAAGCTGGTTGTTAAAAGCCTTCTTTGGGGTCGAAACAACTACTTGTTTAGAGAGTATTATGAGAAAAATAAATCGTCAACGACCCACACTATACAATACTCTGAAAACGATTGAAATGAATTTTGAAAAGAATAAGAATATATTTAGTATGTTCTCTTTGTTGAATCAGCCCCTAGACAAGACTCATTTTGTAACAGTTTCAATTCGACTCGCAGTCGTGGCTTTGGGTTTGTCGTTTCTAAGGGAAACGTCTCATGGAATGGCTCAGCAGTCATCACACATTTATTTGTTTTGTTATCGCAAGAGTATGTTTTATTTTTATTTTTCAATTTCGATGAGATTTTATATCTAAATATTCATTTTGTGGCGAGTCAAGGAAAAAATTTAAATATAAACATAGCCTTATTGATTTACGATTGGTTTCAAAGCTTGGCCATTTAACTGTCACTCCTAAGGGCAAGGTTTTTAGTTTTCTGATTCATTGAATTACTGAAATTCTCTGGCGGTTGGTTATAATCTCGGCAATGTATTAGGTAGTGTGATACGGTCTTGATACAAAACACTGTCCGCAGTGGTAACTTGTTTTATAAGATTAAAATTCATGGCTCAATATCTAGTGAAAGACGAAATAACGAACTTATTTCACTATTCATGAGCGATATGATTGTGTTATGTCGCGTTTAAGTTCGGAATAGATTCATTACAGTTATTTTTTCAATCGCTGTTGAAAGCTTATGAAGAGCTCATCAGTTTGTAATTATTTATGAATGTAATCTTCAATTTGAATAAATTTCGTATGTGTTCACTCCTGCATCGTTTCCATCCAAGTCTTCGTATGTCGTCTCCACACATCATGTTTCCACCAGCATTGATCGGATTTAAGTTATGATTAGTGTCCGCTGTCTTCATGACTGATGTAGTAGCAAACTGCGCCATTTCATACTGGGCTGAAATAGACATTGAAGTATCAACGTCAATATAATGACTACATTACCTAAAATAGCTTGATTTTGTTTTTGACTAGACATTATTTAGGACTTGAATTTTTTCAATGAAATAAACAAGAATAAGAGTTATTGTACGAATAAAAAATATTGAATTACTTATATTAAAATTTTCAGTTTTTGGTATAATCATGAAAATTTTCAAATTGGAACAAATTCAGGCATTTAGATTATATGTTAATATAGCGCTCAGTTATCACAAAATCTAAATCACTTATTGTATGCACTGCATCTTCACAAATGGACTAATTGTTTCTAGTTTTTTAGTAGAAGATGAAAGTATATCATAAAGTAATAAAACTTTCATAAGATCATAAGATGTTTCTATCATTTTACCAAAACACATTTTTAAACATTGGCTCACTCAAAAATTGGAATCTGAAGGTTTTGAAACTATATGAAGTGATCAACCTTTAACAAATGCTACGCGCCATTTCACAACTACACAGTGACAAAACCCTCGATCTCCGACCTAAATTGTCAACATCCTTGATGTAGCATTCTGAAAATGAATATAGGCCAATACACCACGTACCTGTTGCATTTGTAATACCTTGATTCGGATTCGCGTTAGCAGATGAAGCAACATGTCTTTTCATTCTGGAAAGCATATAGTTTTTATGAAATTGATGATGAGTATGCAGTTTCAAACAGAAAATACGGTGCATGGATACTGATAGTTTTAGGTACCGGTATACAGTAGACCTACCTAACATACAGTCCACCTCATTCGTTCAGATAGAGGCTAAATACGTCAAATAAACAAATTTATCGATAGGTAAACTGACATGTTTGGCTTAGATAGTGGCGGATCTTGAGTAACCTAATACTGCTAAAATGGTAAAATTAAATCTATGCATTGATCGAATTTTCTAATAAATTATTGAAAGTCAGACCGTATAAGTATTAAATATTTGCCCATGTACTTGTCAGTCCACATAAAACTAAAATAATTGAAAACAGATGTCAGCATTTTAACAAATTCTTTTAACTTTAAATACTGAATATTAAAATCAATTAGTTCACTAGAAAGGCGTTCTTTCTTAAAAACAACAACAAACGAAACAACAACAACAATTTAGCAAAACGAATTATATGTACACTCCATGCCTTTTTATCCTATAGAAACCCACCTCAAAAATTGTGTCCTGTAATACATCATATTCCAAACTGTTAAAACCAAAATTATGATAGGAACGATCAGGCCTATTATAAAGCTTATGACGTCAAACTGAAAGTCAGCATCACCTGCAAATAATTGAACAGTTGAATAGTTTTAATCCTCACTTCAAAAAGAGCAAATACAAACCACTCACTCATACGCAAAGCCTTGTGTATCTGCTTAACATTGTATTAGTCAGAAGGAAGTAAACAACGGCGTAACAATTGACATTTCAGAAACTGCTTCAGTCAAATACATCTACAGACATGGTTTTTAACATAGCGTATTTTTGCCAGTTGTATGACATTTTGTAACTTTGAAAAATACGTATTAATCGAATTTCTCAATGATCATTTTCTTACGAGTAGTGTTAATTTAGTTGCAGTAAATCATGCTTAACACCCCAAAAGCCGCGATGTAATAGGCTTTATTTTGTTTTCGGTACTGTGGTAGGTGGTTGAATATTTTGAATCAAAAGAATTTTCATAAATTCCAAATCTCTTCGTTAGAACCAACTCGTAATACACTTTTGGAAGGATCATAAAAAGAATTTGCAATGGTACTGTATTGAAAAAATTTACTGTATTGAATCAGTACTGAAACATTTACCTTGTTGTTTTTTTGTTTCCGTGATGTTAGATTGGTATAAATGGGTAACATCAATCACAAAATGAGTCCAACCTTGCGATGAAAGCGTTATGGGAAATATATCTTTGCTCCTCATCATATGAACGCTGGCACATTCATTTGGAAAAATTTCTATCAAGTCTGAAATTGATATTTTCTCTGACTTGAGCAAAAAACATTGATCTTTATCTTGTATTGTTAGATCCCGTGTCCAACTCGGCCCTATAAAAACACGAAAGATATGGCTAGACGCCGTGATAGGTTTCATTCTGTTCGCACTGACCCGTTCATTAAATGTCGCGTGAATTTGCTTATCCGAACCTATTTTTACAACTATGAGTTAGGAACAATTTTTCTGAAATGAGCGAAACAGAACAGGAATCCAAGATGCCAGCTATTACAGACCAGTGAATATTAACCTAGTATCTGAGTTGAGACCAATTTTGCTTCGTATTTGAATACAAACACTACGAATAACAAAAGACAATCGTAGAAAATAAATATACATGAATATATAAAACCCTCCATGCATGGAAACATTGCATTTTTTTCAACATTGCAAATTCCAATATAAAACGTAAATCAGGATTTAAATGTGAACACAAAAAATATCAGAAGAGAGAAACAAATTCTAAAAGCATAGACGAGCTATTTTCAATCCCGCCTAAACAACATACCTTCTTTTCACACGGAAAATTAATAGCAGCAGCCAAACAAATAGTTACAGAATAAATTTGGGTTGGTGTGCAGCAAGACTCTTGAAACTAACAGATTGCCATACTCATTCTTGCTACTGCACCTTTACATTATACACATACGGATCCATCTCCACGAATGCATATAGAACAAGAAAAGGTAGTGGGTTCCCCGCAACCCCAACTGATAAATATATTTACATATGTAATTTTACCATCCTTTATATTTTGTAAAATATGTTCCGTCTTCATAAAAATCACTCAGACACGGTTTACCATTTTGGCAAAAATCGGACTGGGACGGAATATATTACATAAGAAAATTAAACCGTGTGTTATTAAAAAATAGAAAAATAAACAAATCCTAACCTGATACTGTTAGTGGCGGTGCGTAGCTTATTGACCCAAACGTAAAATCTTGGCTACGTGGATTAAGTGCTCCTATGATTGTAATTTTCAGAAACCATTGATCGTTTTGAGAATTGCAATCTCCTGTCAGTTTCCATGTTTTATCTCCCTCAAGAGATATTGAGTTAGTATCATTGGAGCACACATCAGTCTCTCTATATCTTCGGCATGGGCAATAGTAAGAGCCACTGTGAACAAAAAGTAAATATCTTATTGATACTGGTATATATAGCAACCACTGGTTCACAAACTACTAATGAAAAATCTGATATCAGATTTGTTACACATTGGTAGTTTTTAGATATACTTGACTCTGCAAGTCTTTAAATCTTTGTTTTATCTCCTGCATTCACGTCACAAACCCGACTTTAAAAAAAAACGGAAAGCAAAAACGTCGTTTTTTTGTCCAATATTTTCTGCGGATAGAGTCATGAACAATGATCGAGTACAGGATATGCATTTCGATCTGAACAAAACTCTATACAGCTATCCACGACAACCAGAAATATTTAAACTGCAATACTAACATAATTAATCAAAAGAATAACCACAGGGCATCGCGCTGTTTTATCGCATTTCTTTTTTCCGTGCTATCAGTCTTTTCTACAAAAATCTTTTGCACGCACATGGAAAGCTACGAGCTAGTATGTTTTA